ATTTTTTTTTGTATTTCTTGCAGGCTATATAAAATAAGTACCTACTATGAATTATAGCTTTTGATTCCCTAAAGTACTAACTAAGCCCAATTTTCTATTTGAAATCACTTTCATAATTACAAATCAAAGTTATTTTTATTTTTTACTGTCTCAAAAATTGAAGATAAACAGAAAAAAACGCTCATCATTGTAAAATCAATATATCCGTTGCTCTGCTCAAAATTTAAAATCTATTTTGTAGTACATAAATAAATGTTATTACTTATTTATAATATATTTATACATAGACTTTAGGTATAAGTATTTAGGTACATACTATTTAATATTTATCTACAGACATTATAAAGTTATTATAGTTATGAATTCATTATTCAGAAGGATTTTATTTGATCGCCAACTATCTAGCGGAATACTACCAAAGCTGCTAAAGCTTTATGAGAATTCGAGAACAGTGATCTAATCATATCACTGTATATAATCCTGATTGCTTAGAACAAGAAACAACCAACTTGGTCAACACAACAATGATACGTAGATATAACTATTTACTATAAATCATATTATTAGTAGAGCAAGGACTATTATGCACTAAAAATCATCAAATATGCATTTAAAAATATACATTTATGCATCAAAAAATTTTAAATATGCAGTTAAATATGTCCTCAAAAAATTAATACACTAAAATTTATAGCTCTAAAAATTATATTTTTTCTTTAAATATTTAATTTTAATAATTTTATATTATCTCTCTATAAGTTTTAACTGAATTTTATATCACTTTATTGTAATCTAATCTACAGATTCGCAACTATGATAAAATGAGTCTCTTTCATCTTGATGAGAATATAGAAATAGTTAAATATAATAATTTGTGTCCTTAATCATGAAAAATATTCACTGAAAAACATGATTTTCAAAAAACCTTCAAAATATGCACTACAAACTAAAAATAATATATGCTCTTAAAATAAAAAAAATATGTTCTTTAAACCTAAAAATGTCAAAATATGCAAAAATATGCACTAAAAACTTTGAGATTTTGATCACAAACGTTGTGAAATGTATTATGTATTTACTCTGCATACAAAAAAGTACACCAAAAAAAATATGCGAATAAAATTATTAGTATTATAGCAAGTACGGAAACCGGCGGTGACGTGCGGTAAGAATATTCGATACGTAATTATGTTAGATAGTATGTTTAAAACAATATGTAAGTATATTAAAAAATATAAATAAAATAATATTAAATACCTTTTTAAATATATATTTTTTTAATACTATTTAAATTATGTATATATTAATTTTTTTATATATTACCTAATAATATTATTATTTGTAATATCCCGAATAGTTTTTACGGAAAGAAAATTTTAAAAAGTTTCCCGGAAATAGAATTATTCGGAAAAAATTGAAAATGATATTTTTTGTAGGGATTTTTGTATGAACTCGCGACTATACGCGCGTATTTGCTGACATTTAGTATACACTATACAGTATACATGTGTGTGATGTAAACTTGTAGTGATGACAACAATATTCTGAACTGTCTGAATCACTCTCAAAACAGCATTTGTTGGCTCAACAAATATTGTATAAAATATAAATAATATGTATTTTAAATTAAATAAATTATGTTTTCATGACCCTATAAATAATTAATTGTTTCAACTATTTGACTTTATTGAAATAAATATATTTTTGTTGAATTTATTTGGTCTAATAATCTGATTTTGTTAATTCAATAATAAAATATACTAAATTTGTATAAGAATTAATAAAAATCTTGATTATATTAATAATTAATAAAGTTGTATTTTAATTGATTTATTTTATACAGTAAATTGATAAAAGGTATTACGTCTTATTACATTTCTAAGTACACATTTAAGTTATTTAACAAAATTCACATTTTTATAATATCAATACTGCTACTCAAATTACCGTTAAAAATATATGTAGTTTTCATTAAACAGAGTTTAAGACAAAGTAAATCTATTGGTATTATTTAATTGGTCACGGATAACGCTTTTTCATGTATAATATGTATACCTTATATGGCTATATATGCATATTTATAAATATTTTTTTGTCTGTAACGGTAACCTATATAGATTTAAAAACTACTTTCTACTGGAACTGGACCATTTTTAATCAAATTTATTTATATTAATAGATTCCTAAGACTTGAAAATGGTTTTAGATTTGATTTTCAACCACTATTGATCGTTGTAGGATAACTATCATAAGAATTTTGTTCCTACTTCCTACTCACTGAGATCGATCACCTACTTTTTCCTTTATTTTATACAGCCATACAGGGATTGCCATTGAATATTGATGCAGATACCTACCTAATAGAATAGTTATTTATTATTATAATTGGATATAATTATCTTTATTGTATTACATTTTTTCTAGCCTAAAGCTATTTCATTTATATGTTATATATACAATTTATTATTTATCTAATAGTTATTCTATTATAAAGGAAGATTTGGGGTAAGAGGCAAAGTGTATGGTTGAGATTTATATAAGTACCTTGTAATGATGTGCTAGAAGTAATCATAATTAAATATTTATATACTGTATAATAAAAAAAATAATAATAACCTATAGTCGGATTATAAGAACGATAGATAACACACACACAGAGGATATTAGTTGTAAAAAGGCCGGTCACAAACATAGTGTCCTTACTGTCTTTTTTGTATTGAAGTTGTTAATAGTAAAAATTAAATATATATTATGTATTAAAAGATTTGTAATAAAGTTAATAAATTTAATTAATTAAAGTAAGTGTAGTAATTTTTTAACGCACACTGGTTACCTTACAACGTACTTGAGACATCAATAGAAAAGACGTTGTCAGAAAGAAAAGAAGGTAATATACTGTTTTGCGATTAATTTAAAGGCTTATAATTGAACCCCAATATATACCTAACCTTCTTTTCTTTCTGACAACGTCTTCTCTATTGATGTCTTAAGTACGTTGTAAGGTAACCAGTGTGCGTTAAAAAATTACAACACTTGTTTTAATTAATTAAATTTATTAACTTTATTACAAATCTTTTAATTCATGATATATATTTAATTTTTACTACTAACAACTTCAATACTTATGTCTCCTTATATATTCGATCTGCGTAGTATTTTACTTTTGCTTGTGATCGTCTATACGGCTATACAAAAATACAGTGGGTAAAGACACTATGTATGTGACAGTTAACTACTTTAAAGTTACATTTCTAGCAATGAAAAATATAAAAATTTGAAACTTACAAATTTCATAAAATAGGTAACTCAAAAAGAGTTATTATTTTGAAAATTATACCACACATAGAAAATTATCATATACAATTTAAGTTAGCATTTCAAGTTTCTACGGTTATTTGTTTTTGAGTTACATCAAAAATTTAACCGATTTGGTAGAAAACTAAATTTACGTAAAAATTCACATTTATTCCTAATTTTTTATTTGTTTTTTTCCGATTATTCTAAAAAATATTAGTAATTTTTAATGTTGACCTCTCAAAAGAAAAATATAGATTCAATTAAAATCAAAAACTATCCTTAAAGTTGAAAGTTTATCTTTTCACTTTTTTGACTGCATATTATTATGTATACAGACATAAATAAGAAAAACACACACACACACACACACATACACTTCATTTTAAAATCAATGTGTTGTACTTTCGTCGCTTTGCTCAAAATGTATGATATACCCAGAACGATCCAACTACTAGAACATTCTAAATCTTTTGACTACATTAAAAATAGCTTATAATTGTTAAAATAAAAAAAGAATTCAAATAGACTTCAAAAATATTTGAATGGAATAAAAATTACTCCATAGAAACCAAATCAAAAATCATAATCAATTTACATTTTAATATCTGTTCCACAAATTATTTAAACTGAATCTAATTATTTAGCAAGTTCCAAAATATAAAACAATTAAATAAAAATGATATTTTATGTTATTATACATAAAGTTTTATATCTTTATAACTTTTTTAAAGGATTAATAACTAACTGAAAAAACTAGTATGTATAAATTAATTCAAAAATGATATATGTGAAATAAGTGTAAATTTAAAATGGTGATAATTATGTTGTATTGATAACTTTTTAATATTCTATTTGCTATTTTATATTTTCACTAAATTTTTTAGTAATAATTTAATAACTTATCAGCCCAGTAAAATATTTTTTTTTTTTTACTCATTATACTGAGCATACATAAGATTAACTTAATCACTCTTATCCAAACAAATAGTTGAAATAATAATTTCAAATTTTGTCAAAGATAATCCATTTGTAGGTAACACAATCTAATAAAATAACATTGGTTCATATTATACACGATTTATTATTGTTCACAAGACAAAAAAACATCATACACATTTACATTTGGTTGAAACAATAATCTTGGTTGTAATTATGTATATATATTTACGAATAATTATTACAATTAATCATCAATATATTTCTATTACATTATAAAAACCCTTAAAGCAAATCAATCATTATGTTATACATATTTTTATTGTGATTTATTTATATATATATATATACATTGATAGTAATAATAATCAAATTAATTAAATCTAAATGCGGACGAAAAATCTTAATTGTAGAAAATTTAATGGTTTTTTTAAACCATTTCAAGTAATAATATATACACACAATATATTGTTGTAGTCACAATACTGTAATAATAATTAATAATATGTATAATCAATATTGATAGAATAGTAATAATATTAAGTAATAATAGTAGTCAAAAAAAATTGTCCGCGTCTGTCTATAAAAATTCTAAAAATGAATTTCTTTCAATTGTAATAATTGTCTTTTTATATACAAGATAATAGTAATAATAATAATAATAATAATAATAATAATAATAATAATAATAATA